GGACTCGGACCACCTAAAGCTGCTTGGAGTTACATTCGACTCTAAGCTTGGGTTCCAGCGCCATATTCATGCTGTCCACCCCAGCTGACAGCCCTCCTCCCGCCACCGTCGGCGCATGCACCTACTCCAAGAACCCGCCGACAACTAGCTTCTCGCCACCCTTTCCAGTTGCAATGGCCACTTGCTCGGACAGCACCGAACTACCTACTGAGGTCATTCCCCTACACCCTCATTGCGGCATGGAACGACATTCCTGAGCAAGCCATCCCGGAACCTCCGGCATCGAAGGGAATGCAGGCCTTCAAGTCTCGCATTTGTCAGCACCCGATGCGCCAAGATTGGTTGTGGGCGACAGCATTCCATGGCTAAATTTGACGATGTTCCATTCTCCAGTCCCACAACGATCACCTTGTCTTCACCCCACTGAACTGTACCTTGCTCCCTAGGCCTCTCGAATCACCTCAGTGCAGAGTGTTTTGCGTTAATGTTTATTTCTTCTCTTCTTTCCTTTTTACTGCTTTTCGTGAGCCCTTTCTCGCTGATCCAGTGCCTGCACACTACTCTGCGTGGCAGCAGCTCCGATCTAACTTCTCCGTATTGCCCCCCCCCCCCATTGAAAGCAACGCAGCTGTTGGTCCATTGCCATAGTCTCCTGAATCAATCTGGCACTCACTCACTCACCCTCACTCACCCGCCCCCGCACCCCCCCCCCCCTCTCTTCCTCTCTCTCTCTCTCTCTCTCTCTCTCTCTCTCTCTCTCTCTCTCTCTCTCCCCTCCCCCTCCCCCTCCCCCTCCCCCTCCCCCTCCCCCTCCCCCTCCCCCTCCCCCTCCCCCTCCCCCTCTCCCTCTCCCTCTCCCTCTCCTTCTCCCCCTCTCCCTCTAGAGGTCCCTCTCCCTCTCCCTCTTGAGCTCCCTCTCCCTCTAGAGCTCCCTCTCCCTCTCCTTCTCCCCCTCTCCCTCTAGAGGTCTCTCTCCCTCTCCCTCTTGAGCTCCCTCTCCCTCTAGAGCTCCCTCTCCTTCTCCCCCTCCTCCCTCTCCCTCGCCTTGATCCCGAGACCATTGGTCGGGGGAGCGCACTTCACCTCACCGGCACAGCTCAATAGCACCTACACGCCCATTGTAGTCCCCTATGTTCTCTTGATGCTGTTGTTGTTTTTCTCTTCCATTCTATATGTAGGCATGTGCACTTTCATAAAAAATAAAAAAAATAAAAAAATGCATTTCCACGGCAATGTCAGCCGCACAATGCAATGGCAACCCACATATTTGCATATGCCGGAAATAGAATGTTCTGCCAAAAACATAAATCAAATGACATCATATCTGTTCTGTGTAATCCAGTCAAGAGGAACATACGGCGGCACAGAGTCCTCTCCACTCTGCACAGTCCCTTGCCAGGATCCGGAGGCGCTGCATGCAAGTCACCAAGCAACACAGGCCTTCCATTATCCGATTTCGCCAGGTCTTCCAACAGCTTCGTGACACGTGGGCGTCCTCGCCAGGTCTTCTCATCGTGCGTGAAATACGCCGCCACTGCCAATGATGCTGGGGTATCCTCTGGTAAGCGGAGAATGTGACCAAAGAGTTGCCATCGCAGACGCTTGAGAATGTTGGTGATTGCTTCAGCTTTGCACCTGGCGTACAAAGAGACATTCGTCATCTTTTGAGGCCAACTAATGCCAAGGAGTGATCGCAGTTGCTGACGGTGGAAGGAATCGAGACTCTGCTCCAAAGCCACCGTCAAGCCCCATGTTCCGCTGTTGTAGGTTAGTACTGGTATGACAAACGCCTGATAGAGCCTCAGGCACAGCTTCTCACTAATAAGCTCTCGTCGACACCACACAACAAAGAGTGACCTGAAAGCTGCTGTTGCGAGCTGCTTCCTTCTGATCACGTCTTGTTCATCACGCAGAAGTGACCCAAGCTTACGTGTCTTTCTCCAGATTTCTGCTAGACGATCCCTTTCTCTGCGTAGTGTTGTTTGCTCAGTTTTCTCTTCGTTCACTTTGAGATGCCATTCTCTGAGGACCTCAGTTATGCTCGGGCTGATACCAGGGGCGTAGGCACTAGGCAGGGGGGGGGGGTGCTTTGGGTGCCAAAGCACCCCCCTCAAAAATTTCGATCTTCGTTCACAGCTGGTTCGAGAGAGACCATAGCAGACCCGCTGATCACATGCGCAACTCTGCACATCTCACACTGTACTCTGTAGCCATCCCTGTTTTAGACCAGGGAGTAGTAGGTACTACTCCCTGGTTCAGACCTGCAAGTTGAGGGCATATGCCAAGCCCAGACAAAAAAGTACTTCACGGGGATTGCTTTCGTAGATATGTCAAAAGCATTTGATAAGGTGAAGCACCAAACCCTTATTCAGGACCTATTCGAGGTTGGAATTGGTGGAACGGTGCTGCAATGGCTTGCAGACTACCTCTCAGATCGGACACAGTATGTCAAAGTCGGTCAGGTACAGAGCTCACCATACACCAGCTTCTCCGGAGTACCACAGGGGTCAGTTCTCGGGCCCCTGTTGTTTGTTCTCTACGTCCGTGACATTGCGAAAGAGCTGTCCCCTTACAACGTTGCGACCCTGCAGTTTGCGGACGATATCTCAATTAGATCCAGCGGCATGAGCACGGATGAGGTGTCCCAAAATCTCTCAAGTGCTGTCCAGCACCTCGCCGATTGGCTTAGGAACCGCGGTCTCATCTTGAATGAAACGAAGACACAGATCATGTCGATATCGCCAGTACGATCTCAAACATTTGACTTGCAAGTGCAATGTAATGGACTGCCTCTGCCAACTGTTCGCTCTGCGAAATATTTAGGTCTCCAATTTGGTGGGACATGAGCTGGAACACCATGGTCGACCACGTCGCACGGGGCGTCGCGTCGAAAGTTGGCGTGCTCAGACGATACGCTACGTTCCTGCCTTTTCAATGTCGCATAGCCTATTTTCGTTCTTTCATTTTATCACACTTTATGTATGCCGCTTCTGCTTACTTACCATTTCTCACGGCGTATCAAAGTAGACGGCTTAATGGGCTCTTCAAGCGTGCTGTACGCACAGTCTGTCGGGTACCTCCCGGGACACCCACAAGCAATATTCTTACGCGCATGAACATCCAAACATTGACCACATACGCCAACATGCACCTTCTGGTTTTTATCTGGCGTTGTCTCCATGACTTCTCTAACATCAGCATGTTGTTCGCTAACTTTTTCAGCCGCAGTAATTCCACTCAAACTCGTGGTGGGCACAGTAATGTACTGATTGTCCCAGCCAGCCCAACTGCATATCTTGCCAAACGTGTTACCTATGCTGGGACCATCTTATGGAACCAGCTCCCCGCTGCGGTCAGGCAAGAAAGAAAACGCAATCGCTTTAAGTCAATGGCTCTTGCCTTTTTGCTTACCAGATAAATAAGCCTTTTTACAAATGCTGTATGCACTGCTCTTTACGTTATTTTCTCCCTATGCAAGTCGCAACTCCTGTTTTGAGTTGTTTTTCTTCTCTCTTTTTCTTTCCCTACTAGTTGCTGTTACACTCACTGATACTTATGCACAGATATACAGCATTCCCTCACTAGTGGGACCATTGTTATTAGGCTAGGGCCTGTTTTGGACTTCCCACTCTAAATAAAGTTTACAAACAAACAACAAGTACAATGTATCTGAAACCAATCCACATGCTAGTGGACTATTAATTTTTGTCTCATGATTGGCCATTTTGCAATGAAATTTCTAGTCAAGGGAACTCCGCGTTGTGCAGTGTCACATCAGGCCTCAGCACATGATTTGTATTGCACTCCACATGTTTTGTTAGAAGCAAAGAATCATACAAACACGCCATTGGTAGAAGCAAGGAAGTAGCAACGCAGTCTATGGCCGGAAAGCACACGTCAGACATAGCAGTTTGTTCTCGCTTTGTTTTGTATAATGTAGTTCTCGCTGTTAATTAGTCTCGTTGTGGAAAGGCAAAGTTTCTTTCATGCATTGCAAGTGTGGATACAGCAGTAGAAGAGTGAAAGTAACGTTGAAGTGCAGTTTGAGATTTTGTGGGGAATAGTGTAGGTTTGATCAAGGATGCCTTACTGCACTATCAAACATGACGAAGGGGAAAAATGGCTCGAGAAATCCCACTTTAAAAGTTCGATAGAGAGTGTGATAATTCTGGAGAAAGCAGCATCCAGGACTTAGTCCATCATTAGTTGGAAGCAGGCCAGGGTGTAGTAAAATACCATAATTATTACTACTCCCTGGTTGGAGATTTGCCATTCACTGATTGATCTTCAGCGTCGAATTAGGGGCTAATTTTGAAAGGTAGGGGTGTGCGGATAATGCTCGAAAAGCTGGCAGATTCTGCTCAAAAAGCAGTGAAAATGGCAGAACCATACAAACCTTATGGCGGGCAATTCCTCGAATTCTGCTCCATTTCTTTATCTACATACCAAACATGCACAAAACTTACCAGAAAAAGTACCGAATTCTGCCAATCTTTTGCCGGCATTATCCGCATATGCCTAATGAAAGGACCAACATAAGTGCATGTACATTTGTGTGGGGAAAGTCTTGGCACCCCCCTTGATCAC